CATTTTTCCTTTTTGCCAATTCTGACTTCATCAAGAATGGTTTCTAAAACCATCAATATGGTAACTGCATTGCTGGTCATAAAGGCTACGAAATCCAATTGCTAATTTCCAAAACCCGACTGGCGTAGTGATGTTCCGCAAGATCATCATTCAGTGACTGTAACAGACACAATTTGACCTATCTAGTTTTGCCATAATAATTTGCCAATTATTAGTTGGGGTTTACAAAATTTAAACACTAACAAACTCCCCCTTTTGCTATTATTTGGCAAAACAATTTGATAAAGAATAATACTATTAAACAACCAAAAAATTTAAGCAAATAGCAGTTACAATCGTAAAGGTAAAACCCCTTCAGAAGAAACTCTAACAAATTTATCAAACTCCCCCTCAACGTATACTAAAACTCCCCCTCCATGTATACTACTCCCCCTTTTTGTCAAAATCATAGACAAAGTAAATAACTCAGTAGGGAGTTCCTCCTCATTAACCTAATTAGTAGTATCAACGTTTGGTTCAGCATCTGACTCACCAAGTAGATTTCTCAATCATGTAGATTCAGCAAGTAGATTCCTCGATCAAAAACTTCTCATCAATACTTCCCCCAATTCAACCATGAATATCACAAAATACAAAAATTCTAATTCCCTTACGGATCAAGTCATTATGTAGACTTAAAATCTCTGATACCACATGTAATTTCTGTATTTGTGTTAAATATTGCGACTAGATAATATTTCAGTATGATTCTGTATGAGTGATTGACTTAGCGCTGTCGTAGATCAGTCAGTAGATCAGTGAATAATAGTCTTGGTGTCGAAATTAAATCAAACAGAAGTAAAAGACACAAAATATTGTTTACCCAGTTCGATACAAAAGTATCTACGTCTGGGGACCACCATCAGTGAGTCCAATCCACTATCTCAACAGCAAATCAAACAGACGGTAAGAGAAAACCTTCTCACCCAATGTGTGCTACACACCACACGGTAATACCCAATCTTTTGAAAGCTATAGAGGATTGTCGAGCTCGGAGATCCGTGCTTCAGCGTCCGAAGTACCTTTGGAGATCCGTGCTGTTGTTGTCCGTCTCACTGACCCACTCACCACTGTTCCCACAGTTGTATGGAATACGGTCCACTGATTTAAGCTCTGTAGAAATTCTTCCCAAGAGTCTTGTAAAACTCAGATCATCAATGGTGTCTTGAGAAGATGATAACTCAAAGTATTTTCTTTGTAATTCGTGGAGAGAGATTTTTTAACATTCAAATCTTGAAAGATATTTCTTGTAAAGCTCCTCTCTATTTTTTATCTCTCTCACCTTTTCCCATGTAAACAACTAGTATATATAATACTTTGAGACTTGGATGACAAGTAATCTTCTAGGGTTTCCTTGTAGACCAAGATTACTTGCCATTTTTCCTTTTTTCCAATTTTGACTTCATCAATAATGGTTTCTAAAACCATCAATATGGTAACAGCATTGCTGGTCATAAAGGCTGCGAAATCCAATTGCTAATTTCCAAAACCCGACTGGCGTAGTAATTTTCAGCAAGATCATCATTCAGTGACTGTAACAGACACAACTTGACTTATCTAGTTTTGCCATAATAATTTTCCAATTTATAAGTTGGGGTTTACAAAATTTAAGCACTAACAAATAATCTTGATGTTCTTGATATTGTGATTAATTATATGTATGATCTTGTATTTTATTTATGTCTAGAGCTTGTCCCTCGGGTTTTTATCGTGAATCTCGTAGTTGTGATGTTCTTGGTATATTGGGTGGGATTATGTATGATCGGGTGTTGAGTTTAGCCTAGGACTTGTCTTTAGGGCTATCCATATAGATTTCTTGATATTCTTGTGGTTCTGGATGCTCTTGAACCGTTATATGATTAATATGGAGTCTTGGCATATTTAGGAGTCGTGTTAGAATGTATTTGAAACGATTCTTGATTTAATTCCGTTAATTGAATCCGTGGTGTTGTCGTTATGTGTTTAAATGTGTCTGGACATGGTTTTGGGTTCCACGAGAGATCCCGAGACTGAAAAGTTGCATGATTATCAGTGGGGGGTAGGTGGGGGCACGGGTACCCGCCACCTACCCATTGCCCGGGAACACTGCTCCAGCGGGTAGCCAGCGGGCGGTGGTCTGCCCGCCGGCCACCCGCGAGAATAGTGGGTGGCCGCCGGCGGGTGGCTGGTGGGTGGTCCTCCACCCGCCACCTACCCGCTGGAACCTGTTGGTGCATCGTGAAGTTTTTCCCCGTTTGATGTTTCCTCGTGTCCCATTGTGTCCCATTGTACCCCGTTTGTCGTGTATAAACCTCATTTGATGTTTTGAATACCGTTCTAGTAATTTATGTGTAATACGTGTCGTTGTCGTTATGTCTTGATTGTTATTGATTGATTATGTGTTGATTGATTGAATGATGATGGGTATCGTGGTCATTGCGCAATGGCCGGTGTGACAGATGATAATGATTTGAGATTGTGATTGGTGGAAATGAATTATTGGCGGTTGGCACCACTTGTGCCCCGTCATTGTACTAAAGGTACATGCCTAGTGGTTATTGTGCTAAAGGCACAAACCCACCTTCGACTAGCTTGCCGTTGAGCATGGGTCAGGTTATAAGTATTGCGGTGTCATGTCAGGGCTATATGCGCTGACCCCTTGGTATTGGCACTAGAGGTGCGGATCATGCGAATGGCACTGCGGTGCTATCTTGATATGTTGGTGGATGAAAGGTGGTCTGTCGGTGGGGGCATGTAGTTGCCCGGAGGAATAAGGGAGGCGATATAAGAGTGGCCTGGAGGTATAGGTTGGAACTGATATAAGGACAGAGGAGGGCTACAAGTTTGGAACTTGGTATAAGGTTGGAAGATGGATTGTGTGCCTTGATGATTACATGTTAATTGATTGTCTTTGAATGCAATTGTTGTCTCTACTTGCTATTTATGAGCTTATTTGTCTATTATGTCTTGTGCCGTATTCTTAGGACGCATGCTAGTCTTTATGATTATATTGTTGATTCTGTTATCGTGTCTTGAGCCTTGATCTTGGATTTAAATTAGAATCTTGTAGGTTATATATGTATTATGGTTTCAAAATGATTTTCTTATATCTACCTATATTGTACTTAACACGTTGGAGTGGGTTACCAGCATTATTCGCTAACGGTTGTTACATCGAATGTTTTTTAGGAACAGTTGAGTAGCTTCGGAGCGCGCTAGTTGGATTCGTGGACTTAGTTTAGATAGTTCTAGCTTTGATGAGATGTCATGCGTGCCTTGGTTTGTATTTGGATATTAATTACGCTTTGTTAGTTAGTTTAGCCTGTGCATCTGAGTTCTCTAGCTCAGGTGTGGCATAGCACCCCGACTATCATGTTTAGTTTATGCTCTATTTGGGAATTAATATTAGATTTGCCTTCATTCCATAAGCTTTAAAAAGTTTTAAAATTATGGGTGTTACAGTTGGTATCAGAGTCTAAGTTCGACCCTAGGACACTGCCTTTAGGATAAGACTTTGGGACATTAAGCTTGAACTCTAGGTACTTACATACTTGGGATGTTAAGAGTTAGACTTTAAGAATCTAGGATGCATCTAGGATAATACTCTAAGCTTGAGACTTTAAGATGTTAAGCTTTAACACTAGGTGTTTAAATTGTTCGAAATCCAATAATTTCCAATTGTTCCTATTGTGATGCTTGATGAAGATAGAGTAATCATTGGATTTGAAAATGGACTTATCAGCTGCTAAAACCTGTTTGACATGTTTGAATTGCCAGTTATACTTGTCTAAATTAAACAGTTAGTTATTATCCTCTTACTAGTATTTGCACCCGTGCGTTGCACGGTATGTATTCGTTATAATATATGAATTATAATTTGCTTCATATCCGATATTGCAAATTTTAACGTTGAAAGGTTTGTATGAAAGTTTCGGAATTGAATTAATTGGTCTCATTATCTTTACGTGTAGTAATTTAGCTATAGAAATTTTTGTAACGGAATATATACGTAATATGTAGATATGTAACAATTTTGTTATATTTGTGCAAGAAGTATACATAATATAACTGTTTTGAATTAGACATTGTTGAAAACCTCTTTGTAGACGACATTAGTAGTACTAACAGAAGTTTGTCCATCCTCATCTAGAGCTAAAACCTTAAGGCCATCAGGATGAGTGACTCGGGAAAAAGTCACATACAATTGACCGTGATTAAAGACTGATTTTTTCAACAATAAGCCAACGTGAGTTAGTGTTTAACCCTGACTTTTGTTGATAGTCATTGCATATGCTAGCATCAAAGGGAATTGTTTCTCTTTAGTTTGGTGGGAATATTACCAAATAGAGTAATTCAGCTAATTGCCGAACATTCTGAATATCCTGTTGAGCGTCTAGGTATGACCTCATTTAGATCTTACATTCTATGTTAAGTTTTGAGACTGAACTGGTTTCTAACCTTGGTTAGGTGTTTTTTTGTGTCAGTGACATCTACTAGCATTTGTTTGTTTCCATTTCGTCAAATATTTTTCTAATAACTTGGACTTGAGCCAAATTAGTATTTGTAACTTTTGTTGTTCAATAGTGCAGCTTTCTCTTATGATAAAAAGTTTCTTGGGAGCATATGAAATGATCAAACATTGAAGGTCCATTCGTCTCTTTTTGTTTGTGTTATTGGTGATTTCTATATGCTTGTCAAATGTATATGTCTTTTCTTCTCGCTACCTATCTCTCACACTATTCTCATTTGTATACATCTGTGGAATTTGGATTAAATATTGTCAAGTTCTGGAGATACCACGAATCAAGCAGCTGAAGTAGATAGTGATAGTGATGAAATGGAGATTCATGATAGTATTCTAAAATCTTCCAAAGGTCTTATTTATGTATCATTCGAGGCATATTTAGGCAGTTACTAAAGGTACGGTAAATATACGTTAACAGCGCAGAGTACTGTTGATTGGCTTCTGCCGGAAGGAGTTAATGTCTTCTGGTGGAAGAAGGCATAAAAATTGCTTGCCTTCTCCGAAAGAAGGCATCCACTGCCATTTGCCTTCTGCATTCCGTTCTCAGATACGTACCGAGCATGAGGATAAGGAGAAGAAGGTTATGGGGAAAAAAGAGGAAAAGCATAAAGCCTCCAAAACTGCGACTCATCCTCCTTACTTTCATATGATCAAGGAGGCTCTGGACGAAAAGGACGGCTCGAGCCCATACGCGATCGCGAAGCACACGGAGAAGAAACACAAGGACAAACTGCCAGCGAATTTCCGGAAGATTGTGGACTTGTTTGGAATGTAAAAGAATATATACATAGTTCTGGAGGAAGGCAGTCAGTGCTACCTAGGGAGTATTTTAAATACTGACGATGTATTCGTGTATCACTTACATTTAACTCTTAATTTAATATTAAAGAACTAAATTGGAAAAAGAAATTTAGGGGTATAATTAGAAAAAAAGTTCTTGCTAAGGATCAAATTGAAAATGACACATCCATGCGAGTTTAAATTTGCAGAAGAAAAATATCATTGCGGAAGGAACAAACACAGCCAGCACAACTTGTCAAGTTCTTCTGGCAGAAAGCAGTGCATGACTTCTTCCACTCTTCTTCCTAGCAGAAGGCAGTAGGTCCCAAATTAAAATAATAGTGAGATTGCATATGATGCAGCCATATCGCAGGAGAAGACGAGGAATTACCTCTTTAAGAACAGATATAGTGCCTGGACTATAATCGAGCTGGCCAGCTCCATGGTTAGACACAATAATACGTGTGACTCCTACTTCCAATGCTTTTATTGCTGCAGCAAATATAATTTCATAGCATAAGCAGACTTGGAAAAAGATATAAACTTCAAGTAGTTATGCTAAGCTCTTCTGATATCTTCTTTTCAGTTTCAGTATCTCCTACGCCTAAGAGGCCCTTCGTTAAAAGTAAGTTTACTTCAGGTCATTGTACAAAATTATACTAAGCTTTTAAAGGGGGAGCTGCATAGATTGCAGGGAGGAATTGCCACACCGGGAATGGCCCGCCCTCTTTGGTTCTTCTACTCCCAGGACTTGACCTGTATTAGTCGGCAAACTCTTATTTATTAGTCCGCAAACTCTGATTGGGATGTTGATCAAGAAGTTACTTGTGAACTGCTACACCGGGAATGGCCTTCTTTGGTTCTTCTACTCTAGCGGAATGTTGGAAGCCAGGACTTGACCGACACTGGTTGGCTGGTATTAGTCAGTAATTAAACTCTTATTTATTAGTCAGCAAACTCTTATTTAGTAGTCAGTGTGAGATCTAAATATGATCTAATTGTATATAGAATAATCTACAAGAAACTTAACTCGTAGTAGCGAAAGCGGAAGCACTGTAAATCTCCAGTCATAGTTGATATCCTGTTGTATTGCCTCTTAAATGGTAGACCTGCAGGGTGTTAGCCGTTTTGTCTCATACTTGACTCAGAACCCTAGATGGTGTACTCGTATTTTCTGAGCAGCATGAGTATCATAATAATGAATAATGTATCCTGTATCCCATCAATACATGTTTTATATAGGCACATTGGTGGAATACAGACTTAAACCTAAATGTTCAGTCCAACCAATTACTTAATGGGCCTAGTCCACTTGCACCACATAAGTAAGACCCATAATATATAATATATATTATACGGGAAAGTCTTACAGTCTCCCACTTGGTGCAAGTACTAGCAAACTCTCATCAAAGAACAAAACACACGAAACATAGTAATATGTCCTCTAATGAAAAAGTGAGTAATATCTTCTATGATCATATGCATTTTTGATTCACCAACTTGAATCCTTTACGAACAAACCCAACGTTTATTCTTGGTGCCTTAAGGGATGTTTCTCAAAATAAAATATATATGCGCAACTTAAGAGAGAAAACCATTCAATTGTACAAAAGACTACACTCTATGATCTCTAAGATTCTTAAAAGCATGCCTTTAAGTAGAGATCTCTTAATGTTTGCATAATGCTAACTATATTCTATGACTTCTTTATAAGTTCACATAAGCACATACTACCTCTAACGGCTAAGAGCTTGGAGTTGACACATCTATCACTCCCACTTATCAAAGTAGCCAAAAGATAGTTTAGTCATAGAAGCATTCCAACAACTTAGAGAACAAACCAAAACTCTAAGTCCATTAATTTGGAATGTTAAGCATACATCATAACTTCCCAAATAATCTCAAGGTCCACTTCAAAATGAATTGAACATTATGAGTCTTACTTTTATGTTTCGCAAAATTGTCTTGAGCCTTACTAACCAAAATGGCTAAGGATCAATTTTGAAGAAACTAAAGACTCTATTAAATGCTAAAAGATTTATTAAATGACAGTGCATCACAAGTTAAATGTTTTGTTTTAATAAACTCTTTAATATTGTTACAACATTTTCATAAATATGTTGCTAAACCAATATGAATTTATATGAACAAATACAATATTAATACTGGTGGAATCTTTTGGACTTATTGTTTGACATACAATCCAATATGGGATATATGAAGCCAATTAAATCCAAAATCTTTAGTAGAGTATCTTAATGATCCTTTTTCTAAATGATCACTCCCACTGATTAAAATATTTTTCAGCGAAATTAATGATATACGTACTCATAATTGATTTGAGCAACTAATTAATGAAGATATAATTCCCCACCATTAGTTGAGCATACTAAATAATCAATTTTTTGTTCCAATTTAAGTCCAACTAAATAATGAAGATATTAATTCCCCACCATAGTTGGACATACTGAAGTAATAAAATAAAATTTCCAAAACCAATTTAGAATTTGGCTCAAAGGATACATTTTATTCTTGGAATCCAAAAGAGATATAGCATACCATGTAACTTAACTATAGTTGATCCAAATAACCAAGTAAGCTTTGTGAAACAATTAATAAAGGTGGCTAAATTTTGGGAAGTAACTAAATACATGTTTTACCAATGGAAATCATGAAACTTAGAATTATAATTGAACTAGATTTATAAAGGGAAAATGACACTTTTAGCCCCTCAATTGTTTTACTTTTGGAAATTTAGTCCCTATTAATTGATTTGAACAAACTTAGTCCTTCAATTGTTCATAATGGGTCACATTTGATCCCTGATATTATATAATTAAAAAAAGTTTAATAACTTTTTTTTTTCATGAGTTAAAAAAATTTCTAATTATATAACACCAGGGATCAAATGTAACCTATTATAAACAATTAAAAGATTAAATTTGTTCAAATCAATTAACAGGGACTAAATTTCCAAAAGTAAAACAATCGAGGGGCCAAAAGCGTCGTTTTCCCATTTATAAATTCTAAGAAATTGTTGTAAAATATTATCTAATGGGTTGAGGGATTTATTGACATAAAACTTGCATGTAGGCTAAAATTTTAATTCTATTAAATCCAGTTAAACCCTTATGATAATATTTTATCTCAATTACTAAATGGACAGGAGAATCTAGTGACATAAAACTTACCTGTGGACTAAAGTTTTACTCAATTAGATCCAACTAAAATTTTATGATGAAACAATTATCAAATAAATTTGAAGAATCAAGTGACATAAAACTTGCATGTAGGCTAAAGTTTTACTCAATAAGATTCATTACAACTATTATGATAAAAACTTAAGAAATCATGTTCCTTTCCTTAATCCCTGTGGGTAAATTAAGAAATATGATCTAAAGTTTACATCATAAAATTAAACTTTATGATAGAGAAGGGAATTATTTACAAATAACCATAAAGTAAATAAAACTGATTTATTTCTATCATCACTGATAAAACTACTAAACTACATTCCGATACATAATTGCTTGTGGGCTAAATTATGACTGTAGTCCAGTATTTTATCCTAATTAATTATACAAATATAACGAAATTGCCTGTGGGCTAAATTCCATCATATTACATACAACTAATCACAAACGATATGTCTAAAGTTATATGTGATCAAGATACCCCGCTTAATATATAATTTTAACTGATTAAGGATGTTGTGGATACTCCACAACCAAATTAAAATTATAAGATCACTAGACAATTATCATTGCCATCTTTTATGTAATGTATACTTTAGACTATTTTATTAAATTAAAGATGTTGTGGCAACTCTTTAATTAATCTAAAATTGTAATCACTTGGCAAAAGGGGAATTTAAAGCCTAACAAAAAAATTAAACCAACATATGATAGAGAATTATTAGGTATACTCCCAGGAAAGTTGGTCGAGATGGAACTCGGTTAAATACCAACTCCTTAGACAGAGTAGCGTCGCAAGGGGACTAGTAGCAACAAGGCTTTGCCAGGGCCATAGAACTAGTATTCCTTCCCAAGAAACTTCCCTAAGTCATGCGTTCTCATATTTGAAGTAAAATCGTTTAGGAGATTTATAAGATTGTAGATTCACCTATGGATAAGGCTTTAAATTGATGAACTAAATTAACGGACTAAACGTGCTTACATTCAGGCACTACCGCAACTAAAGTTTATGCACAAGTCCAACTTAAGTAGGAACTAAAAGAATTCCATCCTAAATTTATGCATTGCTAAAGGCATTAAAAAAATTGCATAATTTAAAACAGAATATTATGCTTAGTACAAAAATCATAAAAATAAACATTAAACTCATATATTCCAGACAAATTGCATACTTCAAGCAATTTACAATATGAGATTTCAATCATCTTTGAAATTTTAAACTGTAAGCCCATGACAAAATGTTTTAATGCATAAAGATCAAATTTATGAGAAATAACTAAATTCACAAATTCTAATAATATCAAGCCAAAAGTATATGTTATCATTTGTAAATCAAAATCTCACAAACCCTAATTGCATAATTAAACTTAGTATTATGCACTTAATATGATCAAATGCATAAAACAACAGTCCAAAAAGTATGAATTATATATAACCAAATATGGGCAAAAACATTAATCATAATTCAAAGACTAAATGAATTATGAAATAAATGTACAGTAATGGCAATAGTTAGTTGCCTTTAAGAAAATCTTATCTGAAGCATTGTCACATAAACATAATTGGAAACAATTCAGGATTCATAAATAAACCATAAAAAATAATGTTATCATTAAAGTATTAATGGTAATAAGTAACCTTATAATCACCATTACCATTTAATAATAACAACCAAAGTATGGTAGTACACCTTCTTAATGTTTCCATTTTTCTTAAATAAAGAAATAAAATGTGGCAATTTCAAAATATATATATATATATATATATATATATATATATATATATATATATATATATATAT